GTCGAGCCGAGGGCCGAGGAGCACAACGCAGGCGGGGTGACCGCGCAGGTGTGGTCTCGGGAGGCGTAAAGCCGAGGGCCGAGGAGCACGACGCAGGGGGGGTGACCGCGCAGGTGTGTCTCGGGAGGCGGAAAGCCGACGGCCGAGGAGCACAACGCAGGCGGGGTGACCGCGCAGGTGTGTCTCGGGAGGCGAAAAGCCGAGGGCCGAGGAGCACGACGCAAGCGGGGTGACCGCGCAGGTGTGATCTCGGGAGGCGTCGAGCCGAGGGCCGAGGAGCACAACGCAGGCGGGGTGACTGCGCAGGTGTGGTCTCGGGAGGCGTAAAGCCGAGGGCCGAGGAGCACGACGCAGGCGGGGTGACCGCGCAGGTGTGTCTCGGGAGGCGGAAAGCCGACGGCCGAGGAGCACGACGCAGGCGAGGCGACCGCGCAGGTGTGATCTCGAGAGGCGTAAAGCCGAGGGCCGAGGAGCACAACGCAGGCAGGGTGACCGCGCAGGTGTGATCTCGAGAGGCGTAAAGCCGAGGGCCGAGGAGCACAACACTAGCGGGGTGACCGCGCAGGTGTGGGCTCGAACAACATGGAGCCGAGGTGGTGGCCTCGAGCATTAAGCGACCGAGGTGGCGGCCTCGGGCATTACGCGACCGAGGTAGTGGCCTCGGCAAGCATGGAGCTGAGGCACTCGGCGCAGGCAGGCTATGACCGAGGGGCGAGACCTTAGTGGGTAAGCCGCCCTGAGATAGACTCGGCCGTGAATATGGCCGAGGAGCTCGGCGCGGGCAGGCTGGACGCGCAGGCGTATCTCGGGGGGTATGGAGCCGAGGGACACGATGCAAGCGGGCCGGCTGCGCTGGTCTGTCTCGGGAACATGGAGCCAAGGAGCACGACGCAAGCGGCTGGCGGCGCAAGTGTGGTCTTGGGCATTGTGCGACCGAGGAGCACGACGCAGGCGGGCACACCGCGCAGGCGTGGTCGCGAGGGCCATATGACCGAGTAGCACGACGTAGGCGGGCAGGCCGTGCCGAGGTGGGTCTCGGCAAAGATTGGCCAAGGTGCTCGGTGCAGGCAGGCTGCGACCGAGGGACATCGCTCAGGCGCGTAAGCCGCGCTGAGGTAGGCTCGGCGCAAACAGGCTGCGACCGAGCGGGCGCTGCTCAGACGGGCAGACCGCGCTGAGGTAGGCTCGGCGCAGGCAAGCTGCGACCGAGGGGCGAGACCCTGGTGGGTAAGCTGCCCTAAGACAGACTCGACAGTGAATATGGCCGAGGAGCTCGGCGCAGGCAGGCTGCGGGCGCTGCTCAGGCGGGCAGACCGCGCTTAGGTAGGCTCGGCGTAGGCAAGCTGCGATCGAGGGGCGAGACCCTGGTGGGTAAGCTGCCCTGAGACAGACTCGGCAGTGAATATGGCCGAGTAGCTCGGCGCAGGCAGGCTGGCCGCGCAGGCGTGTCTCGAGGGGTATGGGGCCGAGGAACACGACGC